CTAATTGTATTGTTTTGCGACAGGCCACAACTCTTCTTTTATTAAAACTTAAGTATAACTTATTTTATTTTATTAAGCCAACGTTAAAATTAACTCACCCTTCACCAGAATAAAGATTGTCCTATATCTATAGCAGTATTACTCAAGGTACTTTCATACAAAAATTTGTTGAGTCTTGACATAGTTTTAACATAGACTTTATTGTATGCATTTGAAGTTTGAAATCTAGCAACTCTATGTTATACTGTTTTTTGTGTTTACTTAATTGAAAAATAAGATGGCTCATTCGTTTTAAGTAGGTTCATAAGTCATTAGTCATTCTATCAAACCTTTATATGGTATCTAATTATAACAATGATTGCATCAATGGACATTTAATCATGGATTCTGTTATGTAGGAATCTGTGTATTTTTTATACAAAACAAGTAGAATAATTAGATTGATAAGAATTTATTTGATCTATTTACAACTATTCTAAAATACTATTGTTTTATTTTTAGCCTATATATGGATTTCATGCTAAAGACCATATACCATTTAGATATGCATCTGGTGGCGGACGAGAATTGCATTTCATCGATGATAAAGATATTGATCTCATTGAATTTGTTAATGCTCCTTTGGCTAAGTTGCCTTTAGAAATCAGCATTCGATGTTAGTCTCATTACATATAATTAATAATTAGTTACTACTTAATTTATATTAAATTTCTAGGCCACTGGCTCGCCATTGATGGAGTTCAACCAACTGTACCAGAAAATCCTCCTTCTGTATCCAAAGATGTTCAAAAACTTGAATGTGTAGATCCTTTAAACAAATTAAAAAAACCCATTGATAAGGAAGTTTCTGGACGACCATCTACTGGGTATATTTGGGACTATATTATGGTGTTTATATAAAAAAAAAATGTTTAAATCTATTTTTTTCATTAGAAAAGCTCAAAAATTACGCAATGTTGAAACTGTTCATGTGAAACAATTGGCAACTCATGAGCTATCAGTTGAGCAACAGCTTTATTACAAGGAAATAACAGAAGCTTGTGTTGGATCTGATGAATCTCGAAGAGCTGTATGTATTACAATATAGATTTGTTTTATAGGATAATACGTTTAACTGTGTACTCGTTTTTTTTCTTAGTCAAAAATAATTATTATTTGTGGTTTTGATGTGCTAAACATCACTATATGTATCCCTTTCATAGTGCTGTAACAAGCACAAGTTTCTAATGACTAATCTCAGAAACTACTTGACCAATTTTAATAAATGTTTTTTCATAGGTCCTTGGGACTGAGGATGATTTTAGATTATTTTTTTTCGATCCCAATAGTTACACTCAGAGATGAATTTTGTTAGTTACAGATTACATTACTATTAGTACATATTATGATAAATATTAATTGGCATATTTTTAATTTTTTTATGTCATACATAACAAGTTTCACACAAAAAGCATTTAGATGTTAACACATAAATTATCGCGAGTACTTACTGGCTCACAACTTTTTTGTACTCTCTGGTGTTATTAAATGGTATTAATTAGGTATTGATTATGAATAAAAAATATTAAAATAATGAAGAATTTTATAAGATCGAACCAATAAATTTTTTCAGGAAGCTCTTCAGAGTTTGGCATCTGACCCGGGCCTTCATGAAATGTTACCTCGCATGTGTACATTTATTGCTGAAGGAGTAAAAGTAAATGTTGTTCAGAATAATTTAGCATTACTTATTTATTTAATGAGGATGGTTAAAGCATTATTGGATAATCCAGCACTATATTTAGAAAAATATGTAAGTTCAATGGCATAAACATATTACTTATTAGTTATTACTATATAATTGTTATAATTTAATTATAAAATTATGGTTTAGTTGCATGAAATCATCCCTTCTGTTGTTACTTGTGTTGTAAGTAAACAATTGTGCATGAGACCAGAAATTGACAATCATTGGGCCTTGAGAGATTTTGCCTCTCGTTTAATGGCACAAATTTGTAAAATGTTTAATACACCAACAAATAATGTACAAACTCGTATAACTCGAGTATTCACAAATGCTACTAATTCAGATAAAACCGCTCTTCCTTCAGTCTACGGTGCTCTTGAAGGTAGATAAAAATAATCAACTATTTATAATCATAAATTAATCAAATTAAATGTTGTAGGTTTAGCAGAATTAGGAACAGAAACTATAAAAGTCTTTGTCATTCCTAGAGTACGCATGATATCTGATAGACTAGATTCACCAGAAGTTACACAGAATAATGTTGATCGAATATCCGGAAACCAAATTAAACACTTACTTTGCGTAATTTTTTTAACTTTAATTTAATTATATTTTTTTATAAATATTTTTTTTTTAATTTGCTTGTATTGCTTCAGAAAATATTGACTCCTGTGTTAAAAGTAACTCATCCACCACCAGATAGTTTAGATGAATACAAAAAAGAATTCGGATCTGTTGGTGTACAGTTGCATGCTGCTGTATGTAAAGCCCGTACAACGGCTATTGTCCAAAGTACAAGCAACCAAGCTGTAACACAAACAAGTAAATAATTGTGTTTGAATAAAATATAAAATGTCTGTTTTCATTTAATTAATAATATCAAATTAAACCTTTATAGATACACAATCTAGAACAGTTGTTGGTCGACCAGTTGCAACAACCACAAGTAACACCGTAAATCCTCAAAAATATGTCCTCATGTCTCAACGACCTGTTGCTGCACAAGTAAATTATTTAAATACTATAAATAATCATATTTTTAAACATTTCTTTTTGTTTTCAGACCCCACCAAATAAAGCTGTTTATATATCTCAGCAAAATATAAAATCAGAATTTCAAGATCCTAGTAATTGAATGTTGAGTTAAGCAAATTTAGTACATTTAAAATAAAGTTCATTTATTTAATACAATTAATTATTCTTGTAAATCCTAAAAATGTTATAAAATGAAAATAAATTAGAAGTTAAAGAAAAATTATCGATGTAAATTTGTAAACAATTTTCAGGGCTTGAAACCATTTATGTTGTTAACCGGTGTTAAGTATGTACATGAACGAAAACAAAAACGGAACTACAATATTAGTCACTTTATAGAATAAATCCAAAATATTTAACCATTAAAAAAATATTTAATTATTTTTTGTTAGTAAAACAAAAATAAATAAGATTTTAACTATAAATTAATAATGAATATTACAAATTTTGATGTTGGTATACATTTTGTACATTTTGTATCAGGAGCAATCTACTAATTAATTTAAATTGTTTTATTGTTTTATTAGTACCTAGTTAATTTGAATTGATAAATATCATAAAACAACAGTTTAAATAGCAAAATCATTTACTTATAAATAATATTTATACCATACAGTTTGCCAAAAAAATTGTTTAAAAATATCTGACATTAACGTCCCCAATTTGCCTGTCCATGAAACTATTATATACTGGTATAGTGGTATCATATAATGTACCAACTATCAGTACAAGTTGTATTATTTCTTTTAGAGCTAAATTACTAAAACTGTTAATTGTTATCATTGATTTCTTCCGCCAATTGACCTTTTTTAATGCACCTCAGTCACAGTTTTTTAAAAGTGCTGTCTAAGTACCGAGAGTTCTGACTGGTCCTTATCGTTTCTCGTAACTGTCATTTGGTGCAATCAATAATCTTTTTTGAGCAAACATTAGTGTGGCCATTATTAATTTAAATATTCATCAAGCTTAACATCATTTCAAGTATGTTACTGTATCAATACCCCATTTTTTAGTGAAATTCATTTTTTTAAATCAAAATTTCACTCACTAAAAACTGAAAATATACTTGAGTAAACTTTCAATAGTAACTTAATGTTGTTTTAAGAAAACAATATGTACAATAACACACATACAAAATCCAGTTGTATCAATGTCAATAAAAAATTATACATAGGTACCATAAATATCGGTTATTGACAGATCTCACTTTATCGCAGATAACTGTTTGTTGGTGCTACAGAATCTTAGATAATACATAAGGCCAGTGAAAAAATTTTTGTTTTAACTTTTAGCATTTTTACAATTTTTTGAATTTGAGAGAAAGTTTTAAATTAATGAAATGTTTTATTTCCTAATGAAATCTATATTTATATTTAAAAAAGCTAATTTATTTATGTCAACTATTGCTATGACGTAGAATGAAATTGAAAATAAAATTGAATGACAACTTCAGTTTTCTCCCAAATAACTGAAAATAATTCAATTTGTTTTTAAAAATAAAAAATTGAAATAATTAATTAAATTGTTGCTGTATTCATGTTAACTATGAACATGACTCATAAGTACAGTTTACAGATAAAAAGTTAGCCATACCAAAATACTTTATAAATTATCCAACACATAGCTTATCTCTCATTTATACAATAGAATAATAGAAGCTAGTAGTTAAAACTTACAATCAAAAATAGTCTGCTTATCCTCTAATATGTTGTGCTCGCCAATATTCGGTAAGTATTTATTTATATGTGTTTTATGTCTTACAACCTTCAAGTCAAATATTTTATAACTTAACGCAAGATTCATGAAGACTCAATAATTATGATAAATTGTTTTTAATCAAACTACAAAATTAAATCAAGTCTCTTGCATTCATTTTTCATTCATCTAAAGTACTACGGTGATTAGTAGAATAATATAGACCAGTAATAACAAAATTGTTGGCACTGACTGTCAATAATGACATATATCACATATTACTAGTTACTACTTAGGTATTGTAATACGCAATAGTTACATTTTTTATAATACTCAAGCCAACAAGCCTATGGCTCTGGCAGTCTGGCTGTATATCAAAAAGTAAAGGCAGAAGGTACACTTGTTGAAGACATTTAATAGTACCTATAGTAAAACATTTATTAGGTTAATAAAATAAAAAAAAATAACATAAAATCACATCAGCATTATTTTGGGTGTAAAAAATATTTAATTATAATAAACTATAAATAAAAACATTTAAATATAATAACTTTTGGTTATAATTCTACTTTATTATTTTTTGTTGGACACAATTGCATAACATTAGTACAAATGGAATGAACAATGTGATCATCATCTTCAGACTTAATAATATTTATGAGATCTTCTTCAATATCATCGACAATGTCTTCACAATAATACTGTAAACTTTTGTTCAGATCAGAATCTTGAACCACGTCCACCTCACTCATCAACGGATTCATTTTGCCATCTAGTATCAATGGCATAACTGTCAAGGTACCATTCTTCTTAAATGTAGCTCGTACATAATCATTCATCTTTTCGCACACAGATTCCATTACCTCTGTTAAATACAATTGTGATCGAGCTAATGGAACAGTCTGTTTTATTTGGTCACCATTGCCATCCAACCGAAAATTAGAAACTTGCACAATATTTGCTGGATCCACAGAACTAACATTACGTTGTATTTCTTCGACAAGACGACAACACACTTCACATTTTAAGTGTAAAGTGTCAAATGCTATGCCTGGCAATAAAAATGCAAAAAATATGTATAAATGTTTAGGAAAAAACATTATTTAAAAAAAAATTCTGTTTTCAACAATAATCTGTCAATAAATAATTGTATTGTTCTGTGTTTTGGCACTAGGCAGCTTATTTAAAAACAAAAATATAACAAAACAATAATATAGCCAGATGACTAGTCAACGTAAATTGTGAATTATTAAATAGTAAAAACCAAATTACTCAACACATAAATACACATCACAAAATTTGCAATTAGAATTCATCAGGAAACTATGCACTTAAGCACTGACGTCACGTCAAGACTTAAAACAACTAAAATTGCAGATAACATCTTTTGTTGCTTTAAAGTTCGAACCGGTTTGAGTGGTTAATGATGGTATAAAACTATGGTGGGGGAGGGGGGTTTCATATTATGAATTGATTGTACTGAAAAATATAAACTGTGGTGGGGGCGATTTGCCACGATATGTTTTCCTTTAGAAAATATTAAACATATACATTTAAATATTTCTTAAATAGAAGATAAATTTAGAAAACAAGAAAAGTCTTATAAAGGTGCAAAGAGTAGTTTTATTTTGTATTCGGAATACGCACTCGAATAAATATATATATTTCAGTATATATTTTTCCCTCTAATTTGTGTCTATTTTAGATTGGATTGGTTTAAATTGGAAATTAACGTTTAAGATGACGTTTTTTGATAAGATACTTTTACATTTCATAAATCAATCATAGTGGTACATCAATGATGGATGTAATTATATAAATCTAAATCATGAGATGATAATATGAGAAAATGTAAATGAAAAATTGTCATGTATGTAATTATTGTCATTTAGTCATTACCAATTTCCTTGTTTTTTTCGCCTATCACACTAGATGAAAAGCAAATTTTAGATTATGAGCAAAGCGATGAATGTATTGATTTTAATATTTTACAATGATGTGTGTTTAGATTCTGAGCGGAGCAATAATGATGAAGTGTATTTTTTATTTTTTCATTTTATTTTATTTATTTTTTGTGTCTGTGTACACTGTGAAGTCTAAATAATGCTTCGATTTTAAACTATAGTATCTTTTCTGGTGGAAATTTGAATCTATGTGCGCAATCGAGGGGTCATCATAATAAAATCCCCAGTAGTTTTCAAATACGCCGGGAAGAAAAAAAATGTTTACGCAAAAAGGCATTTAATGTTCAAATTTAAAACAATTTAAAAACAGTATTCGTGGGTACTTAAAACTTCTAGAGTATATTATTATATACGAATATGATGGTAATATGCAAATAATATCAATTCAACCTACCGAATATTGCAATAACAACAATATAAATATATAAAATATTCTAGGCCGACAAACCGTCTTCGGCCAGAATCGTTTTTAGTGAATTTAAATTTAACTGCACCATCCATTACAGTGACCCATTTGTAACTTACTTAGAACGTCATCATCAGTGAGTCACCCATACTTAGCTACTTAATAGGATTACTATAACTACCTACATATTTAAAAAAACTGTTCGTAATACATGGACTTAAATAGGGGGTCTGAGAAGGGCTTAGCCCTCCCTGATCCATCTAAAGCCCTCCTTAAGATATTTTAATACATAGGTAATCTTTATTATGGTAGAATAGTAAATGATGTAAAAGCATCCATCAAAATTACGAGTCTCAATATAAGAGTTAAATGCATATTTGTAGCTATACTATAATTATATAGGCACTTATATACTCAAAAACTATACTTAACCGATTTTGTGAAGATTTCAAATTGTTCTTGGAGATATTAGGAAAATTTATTAAAAGCAGTTTAAATCAAGTTCGATTTATACCAAGTGCTATGGTACAATCTTTACAATTTACATAGTAAGTATCGTAATTTTGCCTCTGAACTGAGCTAACATATTATCATATTTGTAGGTAGATAGGTACTCCAAAACCAATATACAACCTAAACTTTGTATTTGTTAATATAGCCTTCAAAAACGACTGGATCATTTTCAATAGACATTATATCAATTGTCAATAGATAACTTGAAATTTGGAGGGTGTTTAGCTTAATTTTTAACCTCCAATAGGCTATAGCCAAAAAGTATAATATATGTATATCTAAAGGGTAGTTCACACGTGATTTTTTTCAGCCTATACGCAAAAATAAAAACATTTTGTGTATAGGTATCTAAATAGTTAAAATTGGTTGCATATTATATTAATATTATAATTAGAAGAAGTATATGGCATATACAATTTGTAAAAATATATTTATTGTACAACGTAATTAATTTACATTTAATGTGTGATAGTTTTGAATTGTATTATAGATCAAATACAATTGCGTGTAAGTAATGGGTGGATGACAAGTCTCCATTGATTATAAAGTACTATAGTATATTTATAAATTATAGAATACCTATTAAATACATATTGGTCAGAGCTTAGAAAAAAGTGGGTTCTTGGCGATATTTATAGGTACTTAATTTTTGTACAACTATTTATTTAAATTCAAAATAATTATATGCTTTTAATTTTAGTTATAACAGTGTAAATTATTCCATTCCATTGTTATTAAATTGGGCGTAGGTACCTGCCTATTAATTATTATTATGATGTACTTATGTGGCTATGTGATTAGAATTTTGCTCAATAAGCAGCGAACCAGGAAGAGGCTTTAAAAAAAGGCCAGTGATTAAATCATAATAAAAGTATAGAAGCGCTACTTCAACTTGAATAGATTTTTATAGAGTGTTTTTTTAATTATTTGTTTGGGAGGTCGCATACTGCGGCATGCCCAATTACACTTTAAGCTACGGGAAAGAATATTCGGAAGAGCAATAGAAGAGAGATTAGATATTAGAGGATTTAACTGGTTTAAAGTGTTGGAGTGGTATTGTTATTATAGTGAGTAAAAGCAAGTATAAAGATACCTAGGAATTTTGATTTAAGAGTTAAGGTCAAGGATGTTGTTGCTAACTTACTACGGAGCTTAGGATAATAAGCTTAAGTTTATATTTTATTGACTGAAATGATTGAAACAAATTTAGATTTGACACTTTAGTTGATTCCCTAATTTGGATGTCATAGCAGGACGAATCAATTGATTATATTGAATAATTTTATTATTATATTACAATGAATTTTTAATTTTAGGGATATTTTTTAGATATCGAAATTAATGCCGAACTAAGTTGACAATGAAATATACCTATTTCATTATTCAATGATATAGTAGGTATAAGTTTGACTTTAGGACACAAGGCAAAGATGAATGATGATACCTATGTGGTGATATATTTATTTTTATTTTCCATTAGTTGAACCAGATTTGTAGTTTATTTAAGTAACGTTGAAGGTTATAGATGTCAACATTAATGTGTAGGTCAGATATAGATATAGATAATAAGCTATTATTATTATACAAACATATTATATATATATATATATATAGGTATATATATAATTATTATCTATATCTATGAGGTCAGAAGTACTTATGCAAGTGATCTCTGCAAAAGTGGTTAAATTGCTAGAATGCTGCCTTGAGGGACACCTGCTTTTATAGGATAAGTAAAATCATATAGGTGAAACTATACAGGTCAGGCCAGGCAGGCCATGGCCTGACCTAATACTGACTGAATAACATATTGACTTAAATAAAAAATTTAAAATTTAAATAAAAATATTTATAATCATATATAAAACAATTAGTTTTTCATATTTATCATTTTGCCTGTCCTAATAAAATTGTCTAGTTTCGCCTATGGCTATGAGTTAAAGTATAGTTCCGTCTGACGACCTCAGATCTCACTCGAAAACAGGGGCGGATAGAGGCACCGGGACACCGGGATTTTTCCGGTGGGCCGCTACTTTTATTGACGAAAAGGGACCTCTGAAAAACATTACTATTAACACTATTTTATATTTATGCATGTATAGAGTATACACATACAAATAAAAGTAAATAATTACTATAATACATATTTAAATTTAGTTAAAATCTATAATTATAAATTATCATAGTATGACTGAGCAATAAGAAAATCTCGCCTTATTCACATGCATCATCGCGCCAACCAAAAATAGTTGTGCGTTATCGACTGACCACCGTCACCTGGTGTTTAACTTGGAATTTGGGTATTGTTTTTGTGCTTACGAAACGCAGTCTGCAGCTGCAGCCGTCATCAGCCAATATAAATAATTATTATTATCGAACACAAACGTTACAGTAAAATGTTTCCATCTAGTCACTACGTCATTCTCTTTTTGGCTTTCTGTTGTCACTGTACTTATGTAATCTTACGTATGCCAATCTATTTGGATTTATTATAGAAGATTCTGGAGTGTACACAAGTATAGGTACATTTTCATATTATAATTTAAACTGATCACACACACATATCAAGTCATTGTTATTGTTTATATTATTGTTTTTGTAAATTATATAACATTTTGATTATACGCAACACTATAACACTATATTGATTACCGGCTACCGCTGCTCCGACTACGCATATTAACACAGCCGTCGTATATAGGTATAAAGTGATATATTCTACTTATCTACTTAACTATGCTTCGAAACGAATTAAAAGGAAAATGAGGAGCAGAAAAGAAAATAGATTAAACCGAAAAAAGTTGTTAGCAGAGAGCAAAACATATTGTGCAAAATAATACATAAATATATAAATAGTATATTTGAGAACGTCGAAAAAATATATAAAGTACCCAGTTTTAGTAAATTGATCTTTAGATATTGAAAAATAGAGTGATATAGTAAAATAATAAATGTAGTTGTAGTAGTGTAATATAAAATGTATATGTTACTAATTTATTCTTAACAAAAAAAACAGGTGAGGATTGGTTCTCTCAATGACCAATCTTGAGGTAATTGTTTTGTTGGATAAGATCATTGGGCCGCTAGAGGCCTAGAGATTATATTTTTCCCTTGCCGATCAGTTCCATTGAACTCTATGTCTCTATAATATTATGATCATATAAAGTTCAATGGTCAGGTCATGCCTATTATCCGCCCCTGCTTGAAAAGTACGGAGTGATAAGAAGGAGTTAAAGGTTAGGTATAAGGGAATTCTTTAAAACAATCTAATTTTGTAGAGCAGACCTTTGTGCCAAACGTGATGGAATGCCTGAGCTAAGTTTATATAAGGAATATAGGGGGAAAATTGTTGTTAGTTATAAGTATTTTCTATGTTATTCTGCTAAGATATGAAAAAGTATATTGATAAATTATATACCAAAGGTGATTCAGTCGGTAGATATCTAAAAATTCGTGGCTTAATAATAATCTCCTTGAATTGAATTGAACTATACAAAAGTATATAGATTTCTGATCCATA